TATGTGTGCAAGGCGCAGGTGAAGGGACCAGTCACTCACACTGCTGACAACAGCAGCAGCACCCCCAACGGCAGAAGCAATACAGTCACCCACCTGATGTCTGAAACGCGGAAGTATGTGTGCAAGGCGCAGGTGAAGGGACCAGTCACTCACACTACCGCCAACAGCAGCGGCACCACCAACGGCAGCAGCAACAGTCACCCACCTGATGTCTGAAACGCGGAAGTATGTGTGCAAGGCGCAGGTGAAGGAGAGTGCCTTGCTGTCAGTGTTGAGAACACGCATGGACGACAGCAGCTCGCCTCCTCTTCCCAGGGCCACCTTCATTCGCAGCTCAAAGCTGCACAGAGGAAAGGAAGAGGCAGCGGGGAAACGGAGGATTGATGGGGGGTGGGGAACACATGGATGAGAGCAGCACGCTCGAAGGGGTGAAGGAGGGCGCCTTGCTGTGGGTGTTGAGAACACGCATGGATGATAGCAGCTCGCCTCCTCTTCCTAGGGCCACCTTCATTCGCAGATCAAAGCTGCATGGGCAGAGAGAAAGGGAGAGTGGGAGGGAAAGAGAGGACGAAGAGAGCAGCACACTCGGAGGGATGAAGGAGAGCGCCTTGCTGTCAGTGTTGAGCAATGAGCTGTAAGGACGACAGAAGAGGGAGGGGAACACGCATGGACAACAGCAGCTCGCCTCCCCGGCCAAGCGCCACCTTTATACGCAGCTGAAAGTTGCATAGGCACGTGGTGGCGGACCAGAGGAAAGGGGAGGAGGAGGGGGAAGAGGGAAGGGGAGGATAGAAAGGTTGGCGACAGCTAAGGGAAGGGAGTGCATGTGTCAGTTACGAAAATTCTCTCACGTTTGTAGGGAGCAAAGCGAAGAGAGCGCGTGTATGTGTGCTGGCATCCCAACAGCAGCTCCTCTCCCGAGCAGGTCTTCAGGAGAGGGCGTGTGGAGAAGAGGGAGGGAAGGGGACTGCAGACTACAGACGCAGCACCCCTGCATGTGCCAACCATTTCGATATAGCAGACTACAGACGCAGCACCCCTGCATGTGCCAACCATTTCGATATAGCAGACTACAGACGCAGCACCCCTGCATGTGCCAACCTTCAGCTGGCCGGCCCAACCTGAATGCTAGAACCATCAATATGAGGCCAGAGGCGCAGGTCTTCAGGTGAGGGCGTGAGGAGAAGAGGGAGGAAGGGGAAGGGAGGTGCAAACTGCCTGCGCACCACTCCTGCATGCAAAAGCCATCAACTGCCCTCACCTGTGCGGCCAGAGGCGCAGATCTTCAGGGGAGGGCGTGAGGAGAAGATCAAGAGAGGCAGGGTCTGTGTTGGGAGACGCGGAATCCAACGACCAGGATCGATTCCTGGCGTATCCGTGCTGATCCAACGGTCCCATTGGGCCGAACTGCAACAGGGGAAGGAAAGATGGGGGACACGGCGAGGAAGGAGGAGGGGGGAGGGGGAAACGAAGACGACGGAGGGGCGGACGGAGGGAGAGAGGGAGGGAGGGACGCAAGGAGGGAGGGTAGGAGGGAGGGAGGGAGGGAGGGAGGGAGGGAGGGAGGGAGGGAGGGAGGGAGGGAGAGTGGGCAGGGAGGGAAGAAGGGAGGGAGGGAGGGAAGGAGGGAGGGAGGGAGGGAGGGAGGGAGGGAGGGAGGGAGGGAGGGAGGGAGGGAGGGGAGGGAGGGAGGGAGGGAGGGAGGGAGGGAGGGAGGGAGGGAGGGAGGGAGGGAGGGAGGGAGGGAGGGAGGGAGGGGAGGGAGGGAGGGAGAGTGGGCAGGGGGGAAATTGCAAGGAAGGTGCCACACGGTCTTGGCCTGAATGAAACGCATGTTCAATGAGACACTGGCGCAGCAAGAACGACTCGACTCGACTCGAGGACAGCACATGAAGAACCGGAGATAAGAGGAAGAGGAGTCTAGATTCTGAGGACTCAGCAGTAGATGGAAAAACACATGAGCCGGCATGAGGAGGCGGTGGAGAGGTGAGCTGGCGAGCTGCTGAGCTGGTGAACTGCTGAGCTGGCGAGCTGCTGAGCTGGTGAGTTGTTCAGCTGGCGAGAAGGTGAGTTGGCGAGCTGCTGAACTGAAAAGCTGGAGGTTTGGTGAGCAGCTAAGCGCACCTGAGGGAAGCACACTGGGATGCCACCTCGGATCGCCTTGGGTGGCTTGAAGATGGCCTGTACAACGGATGAGCACAAGTGTGAAAGGGAGAGCGAGAGGGGGTGCGGAAGAGATACGTGAGAGGGAGGTGGGAGCACAGAGAAAGATCACCGGGATGCCGCCCGGATGGCCTTAAATGGCTTGAAAATCGCCTGCTTGCAGTGCAGACATGGCAGGGGATGCGCATGTGTGGGCAGAGCATGAGTATCAAGGAATACTGTGTATGGGAGTGCGTATGCGGGTGTGCGCGAGAGGGAGCCAGGAGCGTATGCGTGAGAGGGAGGTGGGGGCATAGAGAGAGGCCACTTGGGCATAGCATGTATGAAATATTGAAATCAACAAACTAGACCAGTTAGAACGCCCAAATAAGCCGGTATCAGACCCATCACCTAACTCAGGTCTGATTTACATCCAAACTAGTTGGTACCTGCAATACCCTTCAAGAGAATGCAACTGGCATGTTACGCAGTGGCCACTTTCACCTCACAGCTCGTAAAAAAAAGCTCAATATTGTCCTCTGGTAATGCGACGCATCAAAAGTCTCTCTGGGATTTCAGATGTGTCAGAGCATGAGATGTCTCGAAGCATTCTGACCTTGCTGCTCATAAAGAGGTTCTCCTCCTTGCCGTCGTGCTTCCACGAGGTGACGTGCCCGCCATGGAAAAACACCTGACGTTACAGGGTTACCACATGAATTCGTGCACGCAGATTAGATGGGCCCGAGAAATCACTAATAATGCCCGAGAATCAAGAGGGTCAGATTGAGTGGCGTAAAAGGCGGAAAGAACGGACAGGCAAGCTTATTAACAATGAAATGAAGGCTTGAAAAATCGACAAGAAAAATTGCAAGCCAAGCTATATCCTCCCAGATTCCTGGCATGCCGTGAAATGACGAGATTGTTGAAAAAGAAACGCCGGCCTATTTGTCAATGGAAACCCGTGAAGCCAAGCTCGGAAACAATGCGAACTTCCGCGTAAGTAGTGACACCACGTAGCGACACTGCAAACCCCCTTCACTGCAAACCCCCTTCACTGTGCGTTTTATGCCGAATATTTGACAAGCTTTTTAAACCGCGAAACTATGAAGCTACGCTGGATCCTCCGAAATTCCTTGTACGCCGTCAATTGACGCGGCTGTCATTGCGGGACTGCGGTGTGCGTTACCTCCGCTGTCGCGCCGCCAGCCTGTCGGAGAACCACCTTCTCAAGTCCCGAAGCCTCGTCCTTGCACTGACCCGGGTGGGCCATGGCCGCTCCTAAGAACCTTCCCTCGACTACTACTGCTACCGGCTCCGCCTCCTCAGGCGCCTGAATAATCGTCTGGTCCTGGTTCCGCCTTTTGAGGAGCCACACGAATCGACTGCCTCTGTTTCTTCTTGATGTCCGGCCCTATTAGGTGACTTTTGAGTCGTCTCTACACTCTCAGTCCGATCTGAATCGTAGCGTTCCGAATCGGCAAAGAACTGGATGCAGAACGAGGCCCCCCTTTTCGTGCTTATGCCTTTCTAATCGCGCTTCGCCGTTGCTGATGGATCTGCAACGTAACGGTCACAAATTCGCAGCCCGGAGACAAACGAACGGGGAGAGCTACTGGGATCGCTGAGCTGCGTGTTAGACGGGAGCTCAGCAGAGAAGAATTTCACGGAGTTTTCGAGATTGGCTCACGTGAAAGCGACACGCTGATGCGATACGGGAGTGAGTCTATAAGGGTCAGAAAGATGGTGGAAACTGGAACCTGAAATCTGGATTTAGGAGAAATGTGCGAAAGTAGTGAAGGTCACACTAAATGGAGCACACAGGAAATGAACAAAATCAAGGCGGTATTTATACAAGGGAAAGGCGATCTAGGCTCGGTAGAATTGTGACAGATACTGTAGCAGAAAACACTTTTTGTTCCAATATCTCTCCAAAGCCGTAACATGAATGTATCGTCAATCTCCAAACAAGCGGAGAAGTGCAACCATGTGTGTAAACTAGACTTGTTTCAATTTGGACGAGCCACGCCCTTTTTCCGCCACCACACGTCCCCCTCGAGCTCGTTCAATGCTTTGTTTCCCTTCCACTCGACCCTCCGCTCCTCCGCTCCGTCTCCGCCCGCGCTCCGCTCTCGTTTCAGAGGATCGTTCAGTTGACTCCGCACTCCGCTCCGTCTCCGCCCGCGCCCCGCACTCCGCTCTCGCAGCGCGTAGAGATCGGGTCCTCCCGTCGCCGTAAAGTCCTATTCGTCGAGCCTACGATCCGAAAAGGAAAAGGGGAAACGGAAAAGAATCAACAACAGCGTCGTCTGCCTGCCATAAAGACCGAGCCCATAGCAGTCAGGCTGTTGATCGCTGCTCCGACATGTCGGCGAGGAAAGCTGTAAGCTCAATTTAAACCAAGTCAGTCATGTCAATCGGCAAGGGCTCACTCATATCTACTAGAACGAGTTTCGCAAAGCTATTTCTGAGATCGCTCATAACAGTTCAGAAGCTGTCTGCTGCAGCGTATTTCCCGATGCTATGCGTGGTCGCAGACGTTGTGGCCTGCATGGCAAGTGCAAGCTGCTCCATCAGTTGAATCGTCTTGGACCGGATTCTATCATCTTGCAGGATTCGATGCGTTTCATATCGATTTGTTCCGTCTCAGCTACGCCCTTTTTATTGGTCCAATCCACTCGGCTTGGTTTGTAGCGCTTCTCAAAACCCATCCTTTTGTTCCACCCACTCCTCCCGTGTGATTTCACTCGTCTCATCCGTGCTGCTCTGCTCTGCTCTACTCTCTTCTCCTCTGCTCTCCTCTGCTCTACCTTGCTCCGCTTCGCTCTGTTTTGCCGGCTGTGATGTTGCCGTCTCAACAGTTGAGCGCATGGAGGCTGCTCGCACCGCCTCACACCCTTGGGATTGCCGCTCCTGCTGCTGCTCCTTCTGCTCCTGCTGCTTCCTTGTCCGCGTCAGCGTCACATGCTGTGGCCTGCTCTTTCTTCCCCTGTGATGCGGCTGCTGCACCCACCCCCACCACCAACACCACCACCGCTACCCTTGCCACTTCCACCACCAATACCACCATTGCCACCACTGCTGCCACCACTGCCACTGCCACCACTGCTGCCACCACTGCCACTGCCACCACTGCTGCCACCACCACCACCGCTGGCTCCTCTCTGCGTTGCCTGCATCGCCACTTGTCCCTGCACCATCAACAACCCCACCACTTAACTAAGCATCTGCACCAACACCACTCTCACCAGCAGCGTTCCTTGCACTACCACCATCGCAAACACCCTGCCCAGCCACATGTGCTGCCACATCAGCACCAGCAACGGCGGTCCATGTTCATTCAGACCCTTACCACTCCCAACCCTGCCTCACTCATGTTCAACCCTGGCCGGCCCATCCTCTCCTCCCCTCCTCCCCCCACCTCCTCGTCATCGGAGGATCAGCCGCCTTCTCCATCATCCATCGAGTTTTCTTCTGCCCGAGCTGCCCTAGCGTCTCCACTTGCAATTGCACTGTTCCGCATTGATGGTAAGCGATTTTCTTTTTTTCCGATGCCCAACCGCACTAATGTTTTTGCCTGACCTGCCACTGCCACTGCCACTGCCACTGCCACTGCCACTGGTGCTTCTCCATCCCTCCACCACTCCCGTCGGGAAGTGATTTTTGAGTTAACAAAAAAGCCATCCAACCAGCATTTCATCACCATCCCTCCACCATCCCTCCTCCACCATCCCACCACACCATCCTCCGCACCATCCCTCCACCGCCCTTGTCCACAGGTGTAGCTCGGGTGTTCCTGGGGGGTGGCTTTGTGACTTGTGTGACCAATCCCAGAATCCCGCTTCCATCAGTGCCGACCAGAATTCCTTCACCATCCCTCCACCAACCACCATCCTTCCACCGCCCTTGTCCACAGGTGTAGCTCGGGTGTTCCTGGGGGGTGACTTTGTGACTGTGACTAAAACGGAGGAGAGCTCCTGGGATCTCCTCAAGCCAGAAATTTTCGCTGCCCTGATGGACTTTTTTGCTTCCGGGCAGCCGGTGCTGAACCCCCAGGCAGAGGCGGCAGCAGCTGGCGGGGAGCAACAACCGGCAGAGGTGGGGTGGGGGGGAGTGGTGGGATAGGGGGAGTGATGGGGGGAGTGATAGGGGGAGTGATAGGGGGAGTGATGGGAGTAGAGAAGGTGAGGTGTGGTAGAGTTGGGGGGGGGGGGGAATAACAGCAGTAGGCAGGTGAGGTGGAGATGTGAAGTGCTGAACCCCCAGGCAGAGGCGGCAGCAGCTAGTGGAGCAACAATCGGCAGAGGTGGGGTGGGGAGAGTGGTGGAGCGTGTGGGGAGTGGTGAGGTGGGGTGGGGAGTGATTGGGTGGGGAGTATTAGAAGTAGAGAGGTGTAGTGTGTTTCTGGGGCACGCTCTACAGTGGGGAGGTATGATGGGGGGGCCCCCACAGGTGTTTCTGGGGGGCCCACAGGTGTTTCTGGGGGGCCCACAGGTGTTTCTGGGGGCCCCCACAGGTGTTTCTGGGGCCCCCACAGGTGTTTCTGGGGCCCCCACAGGTGTTTCTGGGGGGCCCCACAGGTGTTTCTGGGGGGCCCCACAGGTGTTTCTGGGGGCCCCCACAGGTGTTTCTGGGGCCCCCACAGGTGTTTCTGGGGGCCCCCACAGGTGTTGCTCACAGGTGTTGCTAGGAGCGCGGAGTTTTCTTGAGGCTGCAGGGTTTTATTTGGGAATTCCCCACAAAACGTTGCACAGTTGCAATGGCAACAACGGGAAGATGAGTTGAGATGTAGTGGCAAAACGGTATGTGAGTAGGGGTGTGTGCAAAAGTGGTATGATAAGTTTGGGTGCAGTGGCGAATGGTAGTAGAATCAATTCTTGCCCAGCCCGCTCCCAGCCAGTCTCCTCTCTGTCCTCTCCCCTTCACCACCCCTTTCGAATCACTTCTTGCCCTTCAGGACGAGAGCGAGATGGTGCTGATGATAAGGGAGTTGCTGGAGACACGTATTTGACTCCGACCCGTTCCCCGCCATTCTCCCTGTCTTTTTCCCCTTTTCCCCTCTCCTTGTTCCCCCCCCCCACCTCCGCCACTCCCGTCAGGACGAAAGCAAGACGGTGCTGATGACATGGGAGCTCCTGGAAACGTGCATTCGGCTCCAACCATTCTCCCTCTGTCCTTTCCCCCCCTTTTCCCTCCCCGTGTTCCCCTCTCCCCCCTTCGCCACTCCCTTCAGGACGAGAGCGAGACGGTGCTGATGACATGGGAGCTGCTGGAAACGCGCATTCAACCTGTCTCTCCTCTGGTCCCCCTCTTTTTCCCCATTCGAACTCACGTCTCCCCTCATGTGAACTCACGTCTCCCCTCATGTGAACTCACGTCTCCCCTCATGTGAACTCACGTCTCCCCTCATTTGAACTCACGTCTCCCCTCATGTGAACTCACGTCTCCCCTCATGTGAACTCACGTCTCCCCTCATGTGAACTCACGTCTCCCCTCATGTGAACTCACGTCTCCCCTCATGTGAACTCACGTCTCCCCTCATGTGAACTCACGTCTCCCCTCATGTGAACTCACGTCTCCCCTCATTTGAACTCACGTCTCCCCTCATGTGAACTCACGTCTCCCCTCATTTGAACTCACGTCTCCCCTCTCGCCCCATCAGCACGAGAGCGAAACCGTGCTGATGATACGGGAGCTGCTGGAGAATGCTTCGTAGCTTTTCCCTCCCCCCTTCGCCAACCCCTCCCTAACGCTGCTTCCCCTTCAGGAGGAGAGTGAGACGGTGCTAATGATAAGGGAGCTGCTGGAGAATGCTTCGTAGCTTCTCTCCTCTGGTTGCCCTTTCTTTTCCCATTTGAATGTGCGCCTTTTCCCTCCCGCCTTCGCCACCCCTCTCAGGATGAGAGTGAGACTGTGCTGATGATAAGGGAGCTGCTGGAGACGCGCATTCGACCGGCAGTGCAGGAGGACGGAGGGGACATTGAGTTTGTTGACTTTGACGAGTGAGTTTGACTTGGCTTGACTTTGACGAGTGAGTTTGACTTGGGTTGACTTTGACGAGTGAGCTCTTCATGTCAACCTCTTGCCATGTCACTCTCTTGCCACGCCATCCGCTTGCCACGTCATCCGCTTGGCGCATCACCCTCTTGCAGTGCCTTTCTGTATGTTAACCTCAAACCTGTGTCTCCCACTTATCAACCACCAGGGCCAATTTGATTGTGTCTTCAGCAGCTGTACGCTTGGGTAGGCAAGGCACCATGGGTTCTTCCAGTGCCCACCCAAGCGTAGTTTTTATACCTTAGCCAAGCATGATCCCACGTCCACGTCACCTTGCGAACCACCCACCCCCCAGAGCCACAGGAATCGTGTATCTGCGCTTGAAGGGCGCCTGCAGTGGCTGCCCGAGCCTTGTGCGCGGTTTCATTCAAGCCTGTGTGGTTTGCTCTCCCCACCCCCCACTTGCTTGCCACCCCAACCCCCAGAGCCACAGGAATCGTGTATCTGCGCATGAAGGGCGCCTGCAGTGGCTGCCCGAGCTCCTCTGTGACTCTAAAGAGCGGGGTCGAGAACATGCTCACACACTACATCCCAGAGGTGAGTAGAACAGATGTGATTATAGTGAATGGCTTGCACAGGCTGCCCGAGCTCCTCTGTGACTCTAAAGAGCGGGGTCGAGAACATGCTCACACACTACATCCCAGAGGTGAGTAGAACAGATGTGATTATAGTGAATGGCTTGCACAGGCTGCCCGAGCTCCTCTGTGACTCTAAAGAGCGGGGTCGAGAACATGCTCACACACTACATCCCAGAGGTGAGTAGAACAGATGTGATTATAGTGAATGGCTTGCACAGGCTGCCCTAGCTCCTCTGTGACTCTAAAGAGCGGGGTCGAGAACATGCTCACACACTACATCCCAGAGGTGAGTAGAACAGATGTGATTATAGTGAATGGCTTGCACAGGCTGCCCGAGCTCCTCTGTGACTCTAAAGAGCGGGGTCGAGAACATGCTCACACACTACATCCCAGAGGTGAGTAGAACAGATGTGATTATAGTGAATGGCTTGCACAGGCTGCCCGAGCTCCTCTGTGACTCTAAAGAGCGGGGTCGAGAACATGCTCACGCACTACATCCCAGAGGTGAGTAGAACAGATGTGATTATAGTGAATGGCTTGCACAGGTTGCCCGACCTCCTCTGTGACTCTAAAGAGCGGAGTAGAGAACATGCTTACACACTGTATCCCAGATGTGAGTAGAACGGATGTGATTGTAACGAATCTTGACAGACCATGTCCCCTCCCCTCCCCATCTGTGATTCTAATGAGCGGGTTGAGAATAATGCTCGTGTTCAGTGCATCAGAGGTGAGTGTGCCGAACTTCTGGGAATTGTTTTGAATGGACTCAAAACGTGCACAGTGCGTCAGACATGAGTGTGATGACCTTGTGGAAATTTGTTTTGAGTCGACTCAAAACGTGGAGAGTGCGTCAGAGGTGAGTGTGGCAACATAATGACCTGCTGAGACTTCTCAAACGCAACACCAACATCAGTGTGGCAACCAGGAGGCTGTTGAGTCGACTCAAAAGTCACCTAGTGAGCGGGTTGGGAATAATCCTGTGATAAAAGTTGTATTTTGAGACGTCTCAAAATACAACTTTTACAACCAGGAGGCTGTTGAGTCGACTCAAAAGTCACCTAGTGAGCGGGTTGGGAATAATCCTCATGGACAGTGCATCATAGATGAGTGTGATGACCTTTTGAGAATTCTCAAAAGCAACACCAATATCAGTGTGGCAATTAGGGGCATGACTGTAATAAAATCTGAGTGTTCCTGTTGCATGTTGATGTTCATGCATTACTATTCAGAGGCAAGAGGGGCGCTTTAGAAGGCTAACATCCGAGTTTAGTCATTTGACATGCTTTAGATTCTTGGTGACAGGAAGTGTTAGGAAGGCTACAGTACTGGGTACGGATTCTTGGTGACAGGAAGTGTGAGCAAGGCAACAGCACTGCGTACAGCTTTCTAGTATGTACGATGTAGCTTCATTTATCAATGTTTGGGCAGGCCAGTGCCATGGGCTTCCATCAAGAGAATGCTCATTGGCTGAATGGATTCGTATCTTTTAATGCTAAGGCTAGTGCCATGAGTTTTCTCAAAATGAGTTTTCTCCTCGTACACTTGGTCTCTTTTACCCCGTCACCTCCCTTTGAGGCGCCTCAAAATGAGTTTTCTCCTCGTACACTTGGTCTCTTTTACCCCGTCACCTCCCTTTGAGGCGCCTCAAAATGAGTTTTCTCCTCGTACACTTGGTCTCTTTTACCCCGTCACCTCCCTTTGAGGCGCCTCAAAATGAGTTTTCTCCTCGTACACTTGGTCTCTTTTACCCCGTCACCTCCCTTTGAGGCGCCTCAAAATGAGTTTTCTCCTCGTACACTTGGTCTCTTTTACCCCGTCACCTCCCTTTGAGGCGCCTCAAAATGAGTTTTCTCCTCGTACACTTGGTCTCTTTTACCCCGTCACCTCCCTTTGAGGCGCCTCAAAATGAGTTTTCTCCTCGTACACTTGGTCTCTTTTACCCCGTCACCTCCCTTTGAGGCGCCTCAAAATGAGTTTTCTCCTCGTACACTTGGTCTCTTTTACCCCGTCACCTCCCTTTGAGGCGCCTCAAAATGAGTTTTCTCCTCGTACACTTGGTCTCTTTTACCCCGTCACCTCCCTTTGAGGCGCCTCAAAATGAGTTTTCTCCTCGTACACTTGGTCTCTTTTACCCCGTCACCTCCCTTTGAGGCGCCTCAAAATGAGTTTTCTCCTCGTACACTTGGTCTCTTTTACCCCGTCACCTCCCTTTGAGGCGCCTCAAAATGAGTTTTCTCCTCGTACACTTGGTCTCTTTTACCCCGTCACCTCCCTTTGAGGCGCCTCAAAATGAGTTTTCTCCTCGTACACTTGGTCTCTTTTACCCCGTCACCTCCCTTTGAGGCGCCTCAAAATGAGTTTTCTCCTCGTACACTTGGTCTCTTTTACCCCGTCACCTCCCTTTGAGGCGCCTCAAAATGAGTTTTCTCCTCGTACACTTGGTCTCTTTTACCCCGTCACCTCCCTTTGAGGCGCCTCAAAACGAGTTTTCTCCTCGTACACTTGGTCTCTTTTACCCCGTCACCTCCCTTTGAGGCGCCTCAAAATGAGTTTTCTCCTCGTACACTTGGTCTCTTTTACCCCGTCACCTCCCTTTGAGGCGCCTCAAAACGAGTTTTCTCCTCGTACACTTGGTCTCTTTTACCCCGTCACCTCCCTTTGAGGCGCCTCAAAATGAGTTTTCTCCTCGTACACTTGGTCTCTTTTACCCCGTCACCTCCCTTTGAGGCGCCTCAAAATGAGTTTTCTCCTCGTACACTTGGTCTCTTTTACCCCGTCACCTCCCTTTGAGGCGCCTCAAAATGAGTTTTCTCCTCGTACACTTGGTCTCTTTTACCCCGTCACCTCCCTTTGAGGCGCCTCAAAATGAGTTTTCTCCTCGTACACTTGGTCTCTTTTACCCCGTCACCTCCCTTTGAGGCGCCTCAAAACGAGTTTTCTCCTCGTACACTTGGTCTCTTTTACCCCGTCACCTCCCTTTGAGGCGCCTCAAAATGAGTTTTCTCCTCGTACACTTGGTCTCTTTTACCCCGTCACCTCCCTTTGAGGCGCCTCAAAACGAGTTTTCTCCTCGTACACTTGGTCTCTTTTACCCCGTCACCTCCCTTTGAGGCGCCTCAAAATGAGTTTTCTCCTCGTACACTTGGTCTCTTTTACCCCGTCACCTCCCTTTGAGGCGCCTCAAAACGAGTTTTCTCCTCGTACACTTGGTCTCTTTTACCCCGTCACCTCCCTTTGAGGCGCCTCAAAATGAGTTTTCTCCTCGTACACTTGGTCTCTTTTACCCCGTCACCTCCCTTTGAGGCGCCTCAAAATGAGTTTTCTCCTCGTACACTTGGTCTCTTTTACCCCGTCACCTCCCTTTGAGGCGCCTCAAAATGAGTTTTCTCCTCGTACACTTGGTCTCTTTTACCCCGTCACCTCCCTTTGAGGCGCCTCAAAATGAGTTTTCTCCTCGTACACTTGGTCTCTTTTACCCCGTCACCTCCCTTTGAGGCGCCTCAAAATGAGTTTTCTCCTCGTACACTTGGTCTCTTTTACCCCGTCACCTCCCTTTGAGGCGCCTCAAAATGAGTTTTCTCCTCGTACACTTGGTCTCTTTTACCCCGTCACCTCCCTTTGAGGCGCCTCAAAATGAGTTTTCTCCTCGTACACTTGGTCTCTTTTACCCCGTCACCTCCCTTTGAGGCGCCTCAAAATGAGTTTTCTCCTCGTACACTTGGTCTCTTTTACCCCGTCACCTCCCTTTGAGGCGCCTCAAAATGAGTTTTCTCCTCGTACACTTGGTCTCTTTTACCCCGTCACCTCCCTTTGAGGCGCCTCAAAACGAGTTTTCTCCTCGTACACTTGGTCTCTTTTACCCCGTCACCTCCCTTTGAGGCGCCTCAAAACGAGTTTTCTCCTCGTACACTTGGTCTCTTTTACCCCGTCACCTCCCTTTGAGGCGCCTCAAAATGAGTTTTCTCCTCGTACACTTGGTCTCTTTTACCCCGTCACCTCCCTTTGAGGCGCCTCAAAATGAGTTTTCTCCTCGTACACTTGGTCTCTTTTACCCCGTCACCTCCCTTTGAGGCGCCTCAAAACGAGTTTTCTCCTCGTACACTTGGTCTCTTTTACCCCGTCACCTCCCTTTGAGGCGCCTCAAAACGAGTTTTCTCCTCGTACACTTGGTCTCTTTTACCCCGTCACCTCCCTTTGAGGCGCCTCAAAACGAGTTTTCTCCTCGTACACTTGGTCTCTTTTACCCCGTCACCTCCCTTTGAGGCGCCTCAAAATGAGTTTTCTCCTCGTACACTTGGTCTCTTTTACCCCGTCACCTCCCTTTGAGGCGCCTCAAAATGAGTTTTCTCCTCGTACACTTGGTCTCT